TGGCAACTGGCATGTATTTATGACGATTGCAACATCCCAGGTCAGGTGATCAACATTTGCAGTTTTCCCATATGGCTTCCACCAAGCAAAATCAATGGGGGAAAATTGGATTTGCTTAACAGCTGTGTGATTAACAACTGCAGGGACTTGTTTAGCAATTGTCGTAACGCTGGTCGTGATTCACTTAACAACTGGCTTTCTTAGCGATGGAATTCTGATTCCACTTGTATTCAAAAGGTGAGGAGTACCTTTAGATGAGGCTGTACTACAATATGTGAAAATCTAAGTTGCACATTAAGTGTTGCTCTCATCTGTGTGCACATCACCTACACCGGTGTGCTTAGAAACAAGGTGCATTCACTGATTTCTGTCTTTGAAACCTTGGAGTAGACATATGAATCCTGAAAGATTTCAAGTTCAGAGAAATCTGACATGTATTGTAAATGCAGCTTTCTAAAACAAAAGTAGAATAGAATAGAATAGAATAGAATAGAATAGAATAGAATAGAATAGAATAGAATAGAAGGGACCTTGATGGTCTTCTAGTCCAGCCCCCCACTCAAGCAGGAGAACCTATAGTCTCTTCTTAAAAATCCCAAGTGATGGAGCGCCCACGATTTCTGGAGGCAAGCTGTTCCACTGGTTGATTGTCCTCACTGTCAGGAAGTTTCTCCTTAATTCCAGGTTGCTTCTGTCCTTGATCAGTTTCCAACCATTGTGTCTCATCCTTCCCTCTGGTGCTCTGGTGAACGTGACTCGCTCTTCCTTGTGGCAGTGCCTCAGATACTGGAATACTGCTATCATGTCTCCCCTATTTCTTCTTTTCTTTAGACTAGCCAAACCCAAATTCCAGCTAAATTGAGATTCTTCTTAGTTACTCTCAATATCAGAAACATTTACAGAGGTCTGGATTCTTGTCTGGTGCTCTCTGAGGTTGGTTGTTTTCTTCCAGATGTTTTATTACCCAACTAGGTAACATCAGCAGAGCTAGGAGAAAGCAGGATTTACTCTATGTTTATATACCAGTGGCTTGTCCACCAGTGTTGGTGGGAATATTCTTAGTAGTTCCTTGATTAGGCTGTGGTTTACTGTCTGACTGTTTGTCTGAGTTGGTAGTTCCTTGGTTGTTTACCGCTTGTTTGATTGTTGGTCTAGTGTTAATCTTGGTGCTCTGTTTGTGTTCATGTCAGAAGCACCTACAAAGCTAACCAAAGGGTGCCTCTGAATTGAAAGGATTTGCCGGTGACAGCACCATTGTCCAAGGGATGCCCAATTGTCAAACATAATGCAATCTTCCAGGGAGGCTCCTTTCACGTCCCCCAAACTTGGTGTTAATCTCTGCTTATCTGGATGTTGATTGCTGGAGAAGAGGCATTTTGATCTTTTTGTTCCCTTTTTAGTTTTTTGACTGCCTTTTTTGAATGATGGTGTTTATTGCCGATTGATGGCTGATTTACGAGAGTGCCAGGCTTCCAAGAATTCTCTAGTGTCTTTGGACTTTGCTTGGTCTAGGATGGTCACAGTTTCCCAGTTGAAACTATGGTGAAGTCTGTCCATGTGTTTTGCAATTAAGAAGATGTAATTGTGCCTTCTGATTGCTAGTTGTGTTCATGGATGCTCTGACAGTCTCCTGCCTCTTTGTCCTATATAGTGGCTGTTACACTGTGTGTTGTAAGATTACACTGTGTGTTGTAAGATTTACACTGTGTGTTGTAAGATTACTTCTATTTTTTCTTCTGAGCGGTTGGGTCTTTTGGTTTACTTAGGATGTTTTGGAGAGCTATCGTTACTTTGAATGCTAAAGTGATGCCATGTGGTTGTAATAGTCTGTTGGTTGTTTCAGAGATGTTTGTGATGTATGGCAGTGTTATCCTTTTCATAGCTTGTGTTGATTGTGCTGTGGGTTGAGTGGTTAGGCACTTTTTGATGAAATTGCACAGATGTCCATTTTGTTGGAAGATGTTGCAGAAATGATCTGATTCATTTTCCTGATTCCTGATTTCCTGATTCATTTTCCTAATGTTCAGGGTTGCTGCAGTATATCTGCAGTTTCAAATGGGATGTAGGTGACCTTAAGGAAGGGGTTACCAACCTGTAAGCTGCGACCCACTACCAGGAGGTGGCCTATTTGCAACCGGGCCATGTGAGTGGTGGGCCTGTGCGCGCACACACACAACCCAACTCGTGTGAGCGGTGGGCGCTGGCACTCACAGCCCTGCCCATATTGCCGTTCACACAAATGAAGTTGTGTGTCTGTGTGTGCACATGTGCTGCCTACCCCTCACACAAAACCATCTCCTCTTTCCCCCCCTCGCCCCCCCAACCTGAAAACGCTGCCTTAAAGGTTTCCCAAGAAAAGCTAAAAAAAGTTAAAGCAGCAGTTACAACTGAAGGGGTTTCAGGTGGGGTTCTGGTGGGGTTTCAAAGTCATGAGTGTCATCTTGAATTTTTTGGACTCTCCTTTGTGGACATTTCTGAAAGGCAAGGCATAGGATTAGCTTCCTGTCAAGCACAGAGAAAATCAGGAAGTCCAGGCAGTTCAAATGAATATAAAGATTTATTGCAAGCTTAAGCTCTCTACAAGAATCTGAACTACTAACGGTCACAGCAAACTGGTGGTAGATAAGAGTCAATGGAATTCAAGGTGGGCTGGACTGAGCTCTCTTGTGGATGCGAAGGGATTGTAGACTGATGACACGCTTGACCCCTCCTCCGCGCTCTGCCTGATCCTCTCCTATACTTCCTTTGCTTTGCTCCAGTGAGCTATCTCTGAGGTTTTGTGGCAATGGGCAGCGTTTGGCTTCAGAGTTTAATGATTGTGGTCTGGAATGCAGATTCTTGAAATGCCTCTTCAAATCCAGAAGCCAATATCTGAGCCAGTTTGATCTAGTGGTTAAGGCACCAGGCTAGAAACTGGGAGACCACGAGTTCTAGTTCTGCCTTAGCCATGACAGCCTGCTGGGTTTCAGCCCAGTTCTCCTCACAGGGCTCTTGTTGGAGGGAAAAATAGGAGGAGGAAGATGACATGTTGACCACATTGAATTATTTGTAAAAAATGATAAAGGTGGGATATAAAATAATAAAATAAAAAATAAAATAAAATAAAATAAAATAAAATAAAATAATAAAATAAAATAAAATAAAATAAAATAAAATAAAATAAAATAATAATAAAATAAAATAAAATAATAAAATAAAATAAAATAAAATAAAATAAAATAAAATAAAATAAAATAAATAATAAAATAAAATAAAATAAAATAAAATAAAATAAAATAAAATAATAAATAAAATAAAATAAAATAAAATAAAATAAAATAAAATAAAATAAAATAAAATAAAATAAAATAATAAAATAAAATATAAAAATAATCCGAACTCAAAGTAAGATTCATATAATAAGTCTCACTGAGGGACTGTATTAATATACAGCAAGCTCAGCTCTTTACTCTGTTACTTGTCCTAGCTCAGTGTTTCTCAGCCTTGGCAACTTTAAAGTTCTGTGGACTTCAATTCCCAGAATTCCTCAGCCGGCCATCTTCAAGTTGTCAAGATTGAGAATGAAATCAACATTATTTGCCAGCCTATGTTGAAAAATAATATTAAAATCCCATCAAACAATTTTAAGAGGTGGTAGCAACAGCAAATGTGTTAATTTGAATTATTAATTCAGTAAATATTGATAAATATAAAAGTGGGAAAGTTCTAAAAGAAAAAGGTTTAAGAGACACTGGTTATATTGACACCTATAAAGATAATTTTCCTCGGTTGTTTTTGTACTATGCTATAATTTTTAAAAATCATATCGCTGGCTATAGAAATTAAATAAATGAATAAATAATAAATATAAGAAAATAGAGTGCTTCATGTTTTCAATTTCACAGTACCAACATTTCACAGCTCAACAGTAGAAAACCCATCCCTTGAATCCACTCCAGCTGCTAAAGTCCTGCTCCCTACCTAAAATAATTTTCTCAGCTGATCCCTGGGATCTATAGAAGCAAAGCTCTTCACCAAATGCCAGGTTCCTTATTTTTGGAATAGTCTGCTTCCTCATCAGATCGAACCAATCTTTCACCTTTAATGAAGCTGGATAATCACACTGATTCAGCCTAGCCTACCTCGCAGGATTATCGTTCTAGTGGGGGGGGGGAGAGAGAAAATGGGAAGAGGAAGCGCCATATGTGCCACCGGGAGCCTTGAAAGGAAATATATGCTAATAAATTTAATTAAGAAATAAATCAGATGCCCGACCTGGATATGCGTTTAGGTCAGTGATTCTCAACCTGTGGGTTGGGACCCCATTTGGGGTCGATTGACCATTTCATGGGGGTCGCCAAGCAAGGCTGTCCGCCATTTTTTTGTCCGCCATTTTTTTTGTCTGCCATTTTTTCCCCCTTTTCTGGCGGGTGCCTTACCTCCCTTGGGCTGGGCCAGCTGGTGGTCGGCCTGGTCCGTCTCTGCCGCTTGCCAGCTACGCCTCGGCCGGCGCAGGGGGCAGAACCACGCATGCGCGGTGCTCCCGGGCAGGGAAAGTCCTCGACTTACAACTGGTTGGGTAGTCCTTGACTTATGACCGGTTTAGTCCTCGACTTACGACCGGTTTAGTCCTCGACTTACGACCGGTTGGGGTCGCGGCATTAAAAAGGTTGAGAACCACTGGTTTAGGTCGAAGCTAGCCTTCCTTTAAACTTCTTCTAAACCACCAGGGGGCGTCATAGTCCTTAGCAGTCGCCGTTTCCTTTCGGCCAATCCGGAGTCACTCCGGTGGATTTTCACGATTCCGCATCGCTCTCCTGCTTCCCGAAGGCTGAGCTCGATTTTCGGGCGAGACGCAGCCGAGCGACGGTGCCCGTCAGTCCTCCCGCGAGCTGCGAGGGGCGCAAGATCCTCGCCCGCATTTTGGCGGAGTTCAAGAAGTTTTCCCCCGGCGGCGGCGCATCAGCCACGGAGGGAGGAAAAGGGGAGAAGATCGGACGGTCCGGAAAAGGGGAGGAGAAGATCGGACGGTCCGGAGCAAAGCCAGAGGCTGCCCCATCCGACCCGCCTGTCTCCCGGGTACCGGCTCCGCGCGCCAGTCGCGCCGGCTGGGCCGAACATCCAGGATGGCGAAGCTGGGAATGGCCCTGCGCAGCAACAGCCTCACCTTGCCCGAAATCAGGTACCCCCGCCGCGTCCCCCTTCCCGGGCATCCCGGTCCTGCGCCCTACATGCGAGCCAGCCCTCGCCCCGGCCCGTTTCCAGTCTCGCGTGGCTGTCCTGGCAAAGGATCAACCCCCCCCTCCCCAATGTTAAGCCAACCCAACCCTGAGAAATTAAGCCAAGCTTAATTTCCTGCCCCACCTGCCCCCAGCAAGCTAACCAGGTTTATTCTGCTCCCCTGGGGTTTCAATCCAAACAAGACCCCTTGAGACCCTTTCGCTATAGACTTCGGAGGAGCGCCCTCCAACTTAAGCTCCCCAATTAAAAGAAACTCTTACTACTGAACCCCTGTGGTCCGATCCACTCATCCCAGCAAATTTATCCTGTTTTTTTGGCACCCACAAAGTAGGAAAGGAAAAATCCCGCTTGTTTCATTCCCACAAGGAGGCGCCGCTTATTATAGTTGGTCTCACAATTACAGTGTTCCCCCCTTTTTTAAAAACAGATAGTTCAAGAGTATTTTTCCCCAGCAGGCATTTTTTTGGGGGGGAGAGGGCATTTTGAGGTTATAAATAAGTTTCTTTTTACTTTGCTAAGTGGTGGTTTCATTTTCTGTTCTGTTTTTTTTTAACTTTAATGCCTTTCAGAAGTAGTTAGATATAGCTCCCTCTAGCGGAGATTGAAGCCTGATACCTACGTGGAGATATGCATGTAGTTCTCTTGACAACAGAACAGAAGCGGTGTGTAATTGCTGTCTTCTGGATTTGTAACCAGAATATAAAATGTATATGCCTCCCGATTCTTAGCCACTCTGGATAGTTTATAAATGACATCAAATACAAAAACAAGACAATAATATCAACAAGGAACAAAAAAAAGTGTAGAAAGGAAGCAGTGGTTTGCAATTGTCATATTCTGGATTTTCATTTTTTTGGGGGGGGGATTTCCCACTCTGAGACCTGGGATTTCCTGGCATCCCATCCAGGTATTAGCCAAGCCTAACCCAGCTTAGCTTAGTCAATATCAGCAATGTTTTGTGTTGCACTGCCTCTTCAGTTATTACAGTATTGTTGTTGTTGTTAGTTGCGAAGTTGTGTCCGACCCATCGCGACCCCATGGACAACGTTCCTCCAGGCCTTCCTGTCCTCTACCATCTTCTGGAGTCCATTGAAGCTCACGCCTACTGCTTCAGTGACTCCATCCAGCCACCTTATTCTCTGTCATCCCCTTCTTTTATTGCCCTCAATCTTTCCCAGCATTAGGTCCTTCTCCAGTGAGTCCTTCCTTCTCATTAGGTGGCCAAAGTACTTAAGTTTCAACTTCAGGATCTGGCCTTCTAAAGAGCAGTCAGGGTTGATCTCCTCTAGGACTGACCGGTTTGATCGCCTTGTAGTCCAGGGGACTCGCAGGAGTCTTCTCCAGCACTATAGTTCAAAGGCCTCGATTCTTTTGTGCTCAGCCTTTCTTATGGTCCAACTTTCACAGCCATACATTGCAACTGGGAAAACCATAGCCTTGACTATTGTTTGACCACGTCCAGTTTGCCTTGATTCATGGATCTTACATTCCAAGTTCCTATGGAGAAAAGATCTTTACAGCATTGGACTTTCCTTTCACCACCAGATGCATCCACAGCTGAGCGTCCTTTTGGCTTTGGCCCAGTCGCTTCACTCTTTCTGGTGCTACTAGTACTCGCCCTCTGCTCTTCCCCAGTAGCATATTGGACACCTTCTGATCTGAGGGGCTCATCTTCCGGCGTCATATCTTTTTGCCTTTTGGTACTGTCCATGGGGTTTTCATGGCAAAGATACTGGAGTGAGTTGCCATTTCCTTCTCCAGTGGATCACATTTTGTCAGAACTCTCTGCTATGACCTGTCCGTCTTGGGTGGCCCTGCACGGCATAGCTCATAGCTTCATTGAGTTACGCAAGCCCCTTCGCCACGACAAGGCAGTAATCCATGAAGGAATACAGTATTATGGTTATCTTCAATCTTTATTTTATGATTATTGACGGTGATGTTATCCATTCAGTCAAGTCTGATTGTTGGCGATTTTATGGGCCAGGTCTCTTCACATTTTCCGATCTTGCACTATTTCTTTGATTATTTTTTTTCTGCGCTCTGTCTGGTGTCAGCTTTGATAGTGTCCAGCCACTATGTTTTTTGACAACTCGGTTTCCCTTTACCGCTAATTCTTCCAAACATAATTGGACTTCCCGGTTATGGGAATTAACTCCAGTGAATTCTTCCCATGTGACATGGACAAAGTAAGTGAGATAATTATTACGGTAAATATATAGGCCTCCTGACTCCCAATGACTTTAGGTGGTATACAAATGATTTAAAACATAAAAAAGACAATAGAAATAACAACCAACAATAAAAGGTTGGAGATGAGAGAATAACAAACTGGCTGGAATTTTGAAGTTCATAGTTATTTCTTTGTTTGCATCATGCCTTCATTATGTTTACAAATAACTCAAGGTAGTGAATGTATCCAACACACCCTCCTCCTTCTATTTTCCTGACCACAACAACCCTGTGAGGTGTGTTGGCCTGCGAGAAAGTGACTGGCCCAAATTCACCCAGCTGGTTTTCATGCCTAAGGCAGAACTAGAACTCAGAGTCTCCTGGTTTCTAGCCTGTTGCCTTAACCATTAGAACAAACTTATCTCTTCTGTTTTTTAAAAAATAATTTCTGAATTGTGTTTCTTGTTTGGCCTCATAGCTGGATGGAAAAGGCAAACAAAATGAAAGAATTTATTTCATTCACAAGTTGTACCCATCACTATTTTTTTTTGAAAAAAATATAAGTTTCTGTTGTACTTAGAAATTTTGTTAAAATTTCAAGGATAGCTCATGGCATTTTAATTTATTGGAGTTACATAAGTCAAATGAGTCTCCCTGTTCCTTGCCCAGCAGCTTCATCCCTCGACCACCTTGCTTCTGGGGCTGAGAGGGAGGGGCTGGCCCAAAGTCACCCAGGGAGCTTCTGTGGCTGAGGGAGACTCGAACCCAAGCCATTCCGCCTGCTTTTAGCCCACCAGATTCACACACACTAACTCACTGAATTAGATAATCCTTTAGTTTAAGCCAGGGGTCTTCAAACTTGGCCCTTTTATGACTTGTGGACTTCAACTCCCAGAATTCCTCAGCCAGGCACACTTGCTGAGGAATTCTGGGAGTTGAAGTCCACAAGTCATAAAAGGGCCAAGTTTGGAGACCCCTGGTTTAAGCCATTAGAGCAGTGTTTCTCAGTCTTTGCAACTCTAAACTATGTGGACTTCAACTCCCAGAATTCTGCATGCTACCTGGAGATTTCTGGGAATTGAAGACCGCATCTCTTAAAGTTGAAAAACATTGCATTAGGGGTTTCCCATTCAACCACAAACCACTTTTTGCTATGTGTGTTTTAATTTTGGATCATAATAGTTATCTGTGCAATTTTATATGCATGCTTACATGCATATTTGGAGGCAATGTGCATGGGCATATAAAGTCTGACTTTTTATTAGTTCCCTAGCGTGGGATGCTTGGAGCTTGCAAAAAATTGAGGAGCACTGACAAGTCAGAGCCTGTATCACCACACATAGCCCCAGATGGAAAAAATGATAGCAGGTATTAAATCCCAGTTCTCAGAGTTTTCAGCTTTCACTAAAGAAAATTACTCATAACTCTGTTGTTTCAGTACTTTTTTACTCAGAGAGTTATTATTTATTCAGCACAACTGCTCTGCAGGAAATTCAGCTTACAGAATTCTATTTCATCAGGAAAAAAATACCAGGCTGACTGGAAAAAAGTGGTTTAATCTGATTTAAAATATAGATAGTCCTCAATCACAATTGGCCCCAAAAATTCTATTGCTAAGCAAGACAGTTGTTAAGTTGCCTCATTTTATGTCCTTTTTTGCCATAGTTGTTAAGTGAATCTGGCTTCCCCATTGATTTTGGTTGTCAGAAGGTTGTAAAAGGGGATCACATGATCCCAGGACACTGCAACCGTCACAAATATGAGACAATTGCCATGAGGATGCTGCAATGGTCATAAATGTGAAAAATGATCATTACTTTTTTCAGTGCTGTTGGAACTTGGAACAGTCACTAAACTGTTAAGTTGAGGACTACCTATATTGATTGATTGATTGATTGAATATATAACTTGAAATGTATGGATTTATTTTATATGTAGGTGTTTTGTTTTCTTAAGCTGAGAAACCACAAATATGCATACACACTCTCTAGACACAGCTTAGTTTCTCCTGATAGGCTCAGAAGTAGAAAAGTCAAGATTGATGATTATATGGATATAATCATGTAAGGGTCTTTTTTGTGGGGGTCATTAATGAAGGAGTGAGGTGCTTCTGTCATGTTTTGTGTAATATTTTTCTGTAATATTTTTTGAGTTCGTATTCTCCACGTCTAACCCAGATTGGCTTTTCAAGATCAAACAAGATCATTTAGAGATTTTCTTCCGTTGAGCTTTGGAAATTAGAATCTGGTTACCATAAGCCTTCCTCAGTGTGGTAACCACCCCAAGGAGGCTGGGGATTATGCTGGTTGAAATCCATTATATTTTAAGGGTACCAGATTGGAGAGAGTACAACAAACTTATTTAAACCTTTCAGGTGCATCAGAGGATCCAACTACTCTGCTGTTTGTTTGTTTTGTGTGTCTGTGAGTGTGGCTTTCTCCTTTTATTTTCTTCCACAACAATAATCCTATGAGGTAAATGGCTGAAAAAGAATGAGAGGTCAAAAGTCATTCCATTCATGAAATGGACTCTTTTGATTTGCCTGTTTTGTGAAAAAAGCTTGCTATCAATTTTTTAAAAATCAAAATGCTGCATTTAAAATCAGAATCGTAGAGTCCTTAGCAAAAATAGTTTTCGGTTCCACAGAAAGATAGCAGCAAAAGCAATCACATCCTTTTTTCACTTTTTTTCCCCTGGAAAAATTCATGTCCTTTTTAACTTTTTAAATCAGGCCCTTTTAAAAACTAAACGAGATGAGTTTTGGAACTGTAAACATTTAAAAAATAACCTTGAATGTACAAGTGGTTGAAGCCCATAGTCATTATAGCTTAGTAACAAGAGATCGCACTAGAGCTGACATGCCCAGATTCTTTATTATACTATGTTATGCTGTGTTATCCTATGTGGTATCTATTTTTGGAGAGGTATGTGATGTCCCTGCATTGTGGAGCAAGGAGGTATCTAGCCTCCTACTGTCCTGGGTTCAGGGGAAAGAAGGTTGATGCATTATTTATATTTGAGTTCCCATTTTAGCTGCTGTCCATAATGGAAGGTTCCAACTCTTCCTGCTTATTTTGATCCTGTGCTGGAAAAACACAGTTAAACCAAGATTACCCGGATGTGTTGAGGCTGAGGTTGATTTAAATCCAGCTCTGGACAAACTGGACCTTAACTCCCATTAGGAGCCATTTGACTGGACCAGTAGCTAGGGCGGTTGGAGATGGTCGGAATGATTTCTCAATACTCTAGGACAGGGGTCTTCAAACTTGGCCCTTTTATGACTTGTGGACTTCAACTTCAATTCAGGCTGAGGAATTCTGGGAGTTGAAGTCCACAAGTCATAAAAGGGCCAAGTTTGAAGACCTCTGCTCTAGGACAATGTTTCTCAATCTTGGGGGCTTTAAGATGGGTGGACTTCAGCTCCCAGAACTCCCCAGCCAGCATGGTTTGGCTAGGGAATTCTGGGATTTGAAGTCCACCCATCATAAAGTTGCCAAGGTTGAGAAACAGTGCTCTAGGAGGAGACTAAAGTGTTTCTTTGATCAGACTTAATTGCCAAACGAGCGAGTTGGCGGAACACGGCAGCTCTGCAAATGAAGCTCGGCATCCACACCATAGCCAAACTTCCTTCGGGAACAGATCTCTTGGGGCTTGCCGGAGAATCTCAGGAATGTGAAAGCCACCCGACTGGATGGGTTTGTGTTTCAGATCCTGTTTTGTAAAGAATATCTCAAGCACTCATCCAACACTTGCAATTTCCAGTTAATGAGTATTCCATCTTCCAAATTATTCAGGGGCCGGATTTTTTTAATCCCCTTTATTTGTGTGGCATTGTTGATATATTAATGCCTGTAAGCATGGTGTGATCTTTTTATTTTTAAAAGACAACTTTTTAACATTTCATATTGATCTTTGCACCGTGAATATCTAATTGGGAAGTTCCAGCACAGGTTGTCCTTGACTTACAACCATTTATTTAGCAACTGTTGAAAGTTAACCAGCTGCACTGAAAAAGCGACCTACAAACAACTTATAGGATTTCCTACCCGAGCAGGGGGTTGGACTAGAAGACCTCCAAGCTCCCCCAATAGTCACTTCATCAAAATTTGTGCTCTTGGCAACCGGCGTATATTTACAACCGTTGCAGCATCCTGGGGTCATGTGATCATCATTTGCAACTTTCCCAGCTGGCGTCCAACAAGCAAAGTCAATGGAGGAAGCTGGATTTGCTTAACGACTGCTCGATTCACTTAAGTGCAGTGATTCGCTTAACAGACGTGGCAAAAAAGATAGTAAAATCAGGCACAACTTACTTAACAACCACTTGGGTATCAATTGAAATCCTGTTCCTACTGTAATTGTGGTCGTAAGCTCCATGCATAGAGATTCCATTTGGCTACTATGCTTATTTAGCTATCATAGTTTAATAACAATAGCAGCTGTGCTTCATATGCTCTGTTGACATTGACAATTTCAGCAGATTTGGCCTTCATAAGAATATGTAACTTAATAAAGCTAAAGGTAAAGGTTTCCCCTGTCCAGTCATATCCGGCGGTGTTCAATAGGCCAGATGAAAAATTCACCTAAACCTGATTAAAAGCAAGGCCAAAGGAAAGGAACATTCCTTCTGTGTTTAATCCCAAACAACTGGTATTTGGAAGTAGACTATTCCTGGGCATGGAAGTTCCCTAAGCTAGTTGCTGTTTTATACTTTATTGAGAGCTAAAGGCCAATGCCAAGTTGCACCCAGCAGTAGTTTTCCGTTCTTGTCATCGGCTCGGCAGCCAAGGTCTCAGGGTTTGTATTGGGGCAGGGCAACCTATGAATGCACACTTAATTGATGGAAAGATAATTGCTTTGAGTTAATGACAGGCCAATGGGAAACTGCTTGATGCAGAGGATCAAAAGCCGAGCAAAACAAAACCGAACGAGGGCAGAAAGAAGGTAAACTTTTCACTTTGCTATTTCAGCAGCACCAGCATCGTGCAATTCGGGTTTTTTAAATAGCTACCCAGGTGATGGCCTTTTAAGACTCGGTTAGGAATTCTGCTCTCTCCTTATTTAGCTCTTTTTATCATATTTCTACAGCCCTTCCCTCTTTCTTGGAGGCGCTTGTTCACAATAACATCTGAGCCTTAAGGGATCATCTGTTTAATGGGTGCAGTGGAAGCGGCTCTCTTTGGGATGATGGTGACAGGCGGTTACTCACCAGGATGACTCCGGATGAGGAATGCCGGTATCCACCTGTGGCTGGAGGTGAGGGAGGACTGAATGACACAACTGACCAAATGTTGTTGTTCTCCTAGCTGCATCCCCGACATGTCTGGAAAAAACCGAAAGAGCAAAAGGAAGATATCAGAGCAGAAAAAATCCTACAGCCTGGAAGAATTTGTTGCCGAGGGGCACCAAAATGAACGCAATGCACTTTTGACTCGGTGAGTCTGGGTAGCCCTTCCGGAGAAGATCCCTGCCAATTGAATCGGATTATAACACCCATTAATGCCAGCTACTCCTTTCTGGCTGTGGAAAAATGGGCATTGTAGTCCAGCAGTGGGTTACTGCACTGGAGGTGGGTGGGGGAGAACGTAGGATGAGTAATATGGATGATCTCTCTAGTTCAACTTGGAGAAATCTAAGTGACTGTTCACCTAGCTCACTTAATCCAGTTATTAGATTAATCCTTGCTGGATTTATGTGAGAGACAGAAAATATATACTGCTCAAAAAAATAAAGGGAACATTTTACCATGGAACTGAAGGGGTTTGTGTTCCCTTTATTTTTGTGAGCAGTATACTAATCAAAAGGCCTGAGATTACAGTCTAGATAAGCCACAGAAAAACTAATAGGGTGAAATTTCCTGGCAATAAGAACAACTAGTTAGTGGAACGGCTTGCCTTCAGAAATTGTGGGTGCTCTATCACTGGAGGTCTATGGAGATTCTCAATCATCCAAGTCATGGTTGTCCCAAAGGTGCTTTTTCAAATGGCAACTGGACTTTGTTTTTCCTTGAAGACATTTCACTTCTTATCCAAGAAGCTTCAGAACTGAAGAAGCTTGTAGGATGAGAAGCGAAACGTCTTCAAGGAAAAACAAAGTCCAGTTGCCTTTTGAAAAAGCACCTTTGGGACATCCATCACTGAGGGTTTTTAAGAAGAGATTGGACAGCCATTTGTCCAGAATCGTACAGGATCTCCTGCTTGAGCAGGAGGTTCCTCCCAACTCTGTTATTCTGTTAAAATCAGCCAAGCTTAGTGTGTTAATGTGGGGGTAACCACTGGACCTGTCGAAAGATATTGCGTGAACAAAGCTGGTTTGTTGAAACTTGCTTGGCACCTTCCACTTTTAACATGTATTCTGAAGAATTAAAGGATTTGATAAGTATTATAAATATCTATTGATCCATTTGGTTTCTACCTCTGCTTTTAGATCCAAAACATATGATGCATCTGTCTCCAAAGAGATTGAGAAGGAAACAGTTTCTGTCCAGAGAAAGGCTTCTGTCACTAATGTAAGTTTGGGATAGGTGAAGTTTCCTAGGGCTGGCCCCAATGACGATGTAATTGTCCTGATTCTACCTTTGCTTAGAGCAGGGGGTAGGCCATCTTGGCTCTTTTATGACTCGTGGACTTCAACTTCCAGAATTCCTGAGCCAACCATGCTGAGGAGAAAGGGAGAGGTTTCCAAGCTGAGCCATGCTGGCTCAGGAATTCTGGGAGTTGAAAGAGTCATAAAAGAGCCAAGGTTGCCTACCCCTGGCTTAGAAGCTTTGGTTTCCCTGCCCAGATTTTCCAACCCACATGGGCCAGTTTTGTGCATCTGGAATGGAGAATAGAGGCTGGATCTGGAGAGGCAGGTGTGCTGTCTCCCTAGCAGCTTTCTCAGGTGACGCTGAGGTTGGTGATATTCAAGATGCTGCAGATTTAAGTCTTGGGGACTTCAACTTTCACACTAAGGTGGCCTTATCTACTGCCATTGGGGGGCAGCCCTGTTCACCACTGAATTATTTCTGGTTTGCCTGTAGGTAGTCCTTGCTTAACAAGCACAACTGAGCTTGGAATTTTGGTTGTAAGTCATTGCGGTCATTAAGTGGGTCGCCATGTGCCCTGACTCAGTTTTACCACTGTTTTTATAACTGTGATAAAGTGAGCCATCGTGGTTGTTAAACAGATAATGGTGACATGAACCACGTGGTCATTAAGTACATTTTTGCCTGAAACTGCCAGAAACCAGCAAAATAAATGTTGCAAACCATGATCATGTGACCATGGGATGCTGCAACCCGTTGTAAATGCAAGCCAGTTGTCAAGCATTCAAAATGCGATCATGGGATTGTGGGGAGTGTTGCAGTCATAACTTCAAGGACATGTCATAACTTTTTTGACTCCATAACTTTGAATGATGATTAAATGATTGACCATTAAGTGAGGACTACCTGTATTTGGAAGAACCTACCTTCTACTTAAGACTAACCTACAAAAACCTAGCAGGCAGCTATCCTTAGAGTAAACTCATTCCCCTGGAGATTTTCATGGTCATGGAATTTTAATCCTTTCCTTCAGCCCCCTTTTTTCTGGACATTTATAACTTTGTCAGCGCCTTAAAATGTTCAGTGGATATTCCTTAAATCTTTCTTGCTATATGGAAATGAATTTTGCAACTCAAGGAGTTTCAGAGTAGGAATACATTTGAACCTGGGCTGCACAAATCCAGATGACCATTAGATGGCTACGAAAATACTCCCAACTCTATGCTGCCACTTAGTGGGCATTTTGGATTTTGCTGGCTGTAATGGAATCTTAAATGGACTCCAGAAGATGGTAGAGGACAGGAAGGCCTGGAGGAACGTTGTCCATGAGGTCACGATGGGTCAGACACGACTTCGCAACTAACAACAACAACAACAATGGAATCTTGTCTTCCTCATGATTATTAGAGTTGCTATACTTTGCATGTTGCTTGTGGTGAAAAATGTTTCCAAAAGCTGTTGCAAACTTGCTGCTTAGTGCAGGGCTTTTCAACCTTTTCACCCATTGTACCACATTTAGGATATGGCAACATCCGAGTACCACCAGTCGCCTAGCAAGGTGTCAAAAACATGATGACCAAAAAAAAAAAAAAGTGATAAAGTACAGGTAGTCCTCGATTTACAACAGTTCACTTAGTGACTGTTCGAAGTTACAATGGCACTGAAAAAAGTGCCCCCCAAGCCACAGCCGAGCAAGACACCTGCCTGCCCACCTGGTGGCGCTCTTCCTCCTGTCCGAGGTTTTCATTGTTGTGAGCATTTCTGTTGAGGATTGGCAGCAGGGGTGGGGTGTGTGTGTGTGTGGTTTTTATTCCCCCCATCTGCTGGGTGGTTGCAGCAGGTTTTGGTCACTTCACATGACCCTGGGACACTGTGACCGTCATAAATATGAATCAGTTGCCAAGCATCTGAATGTAAATCACAAGACCCTGGAGATGCTGCAACATTCCAGCTGATCGGCGGTTCTTCTGGGCTCAGCGGAAGCACCAGGATCAGTGCCGCTTTCCAGCTGATTGGTGCTTCTTCAGGGCTCAGCAGAAGCACCAGGATCAGCGCCGAGCTCCAGCTGGAGCCTGGCGCTGATCCTGGTGCTTCCACTGAGCCCTGACAGCCCTGAAGAAGCGCTGATCCTGGTGCTTCCACTGAGCCCTGACAGCCCTGCAGCTCCAGACAGCTCCTGTGCGGTGCTGCCACCGGTTCAGCTCATTCCCCTCCCCCGCTACCACTTTTCTAGGATGGTCGCGTACCACCTGCCAGGTGCCAATGTACCACAGGTGGTACCTGTACCACTGGTTGAAAAGCCCTGGCTTAGTGTACTGGTTGAAAAGCCCTGGCTTAGTGTACTTTTACATTAGCTTTAACCCAGTGTTTCTCAAACTTGGCAACTTTAAGTTGTGTGAACTTCAACCCCTAGAATTTCCTAGCCAGCTGGAGAATTCTGGGAGTTGAAGTTCGTACATCTAAAGTTGCCAAGTTCAAGAAACGCTGCTTTAATCTGTTGTTTTCAGAACTGATATAGCAATAGAAATCTATATCCAGCTTTTTCAAACTACATTCTATGGACTTCCGGAGTTCTGTGTAAACTAAGAGATTCCACAGCTTGAAAATGTTTGACAACCCTTGACCCATAGAGTGAAAACCCCACACTGAACCTGTCTTTCAGCCAGATTTATTTGATTAGCTTGGGACTCCGCAATCCCATCTGGAGGAAGGACAACTGATAGGGGTTGAGTGATCTATGACATGCACAATTCTCAAATCATGCTTTCATTAGTACATGCTCAGAGAAAATTTAAAGAATAAAAAATTATGTTGGTTTTGCTCATACATTTTTCCCAGACATACACATTCTTTTTAAAGAAATAGGACATTTATTATTGTAAATTAGAGTAATCTGGGAAGAGAATATCCATAAAAATATTTTTAAGAGCATGGATTAGTAGGATGGAAGAGCTTGCCAAGTAATTTGTGGTCAGTGTTTTCTGTGTTTGTGTATGAAAAGTTGATTGAGGCCAGAGTTTCCATAGAAAATCTGAAGCAGAAGCACAAGCAGCTTTAATAAGAAACTTTAAATTGTTGTGAGAATAGATTGATGAAGATTCTCAGTCTCCTCCTCTATTGAGGGAAGGATTTTCCACTTTAATATAAATGGATTCTTTCACTCCTCTCTCAAGCCATCTATCTTCCCTGTCCAAAATGTGATTTATATTCCTTGAAGACAGCTGGTCATTTGCATTCTATTGAAGCCACCTGTCACGGTCACTTGGGTAGTGCAAATGGATGTGGAGCCTTCTTGGAACTGTTGCAAGGACTGTGTTGTAGAATGGAGATAGATGATGTCATATCCCTCCCTCTCTATGGAGAGAGGGCTTTTCAATTTTGACATAGATGGCCTCTTTGATCCTGACGACACAAATAAACTTCCAGGTGGCCTCATTGTCTATCTAAAAGGATGCAAATGACCAGCTGTCTGCAAAGAGTATAAATCCTTCCATTCCCCACCATCCAGTTAGAGCAATTTTTCCCTGTTTGGGGTATTTTGATTTTGATTTTTTTAACAGGCAAAAAGTTCAGGAATGGCAGAATTGGAAGGTGCCCCATGGAATTATTTTCACCCATTTTCACAATTTAGCCCTGCTTCTATTTAGGAATAAATAATTAAGTAATTGGCAAGATTTGTAAATGTTGCAGAGGGTGTGAGGTACATTGAAATGAGTGGAAGGGACTCAGGAGTGAGTTAGCAGTATTGTCACCTCCATGATAAGATCATTTGTTCAGCCCGATAGACCAGCAAAAACATTGATGTTTTATCCAAGTCTTCCTTTGCTATTGTTGAATTTTGCAAAATTGACTAATCGCTTGGAAGACAGCATTCGTTTTGGTTTGCTTCTTTTTTAAAAAGTTAAGCTCTGAAAATTTAATTTCTTTCTCCCCTCTCAAGCTGGCGAAGCATGCCGTGAACTTCCACCGCGTCTTCAAAGATCTCTCTGATGAGGGGAACCTCCTGGGAAGTAAGTGATTCCTGCAGGATGCCATCCCATCTCTGTGGTTCTTAAGTCTCTTATATTGGGAAAGACCCTATATAGGTAGTCCTCGACTTATGACTACAATTGGGACCAGATTTTCCCAATGCTAAGCCAGGGAGCCGTGCCTGATTTTATGACCTTTTTCCCATGGCCGTTAAGTGAATCACTGCAGTTAAGTGAATTACTAGTTCATTAAGCGAGGAAAATTTTGCTAACTTCCCTCATTGACTTTGCTTGTCGGATGCTGGCTGGGAAGCTTGCAAATGGCGATCATGTGATCCCAGGACACTGCAACTGTTGTAAATAAATGCTGTTTGCCAAGTGCCCAAATTTTGATCATGTGACTATGGAGATGCTGCGACTGTTATAAGTGCAAGGACCAGTCATAAGTCACTATTATCAGTGCCGTTGTAACTTTGAACTAAACAAATGATTGTAAGCAGCGGTGGGATTCAAATATGTGAACAATCGGTTCTCTGTGTGGATGCTGCTTCCAGAAGTCTGTTCTGGGCCTGGGCAACGAAAAATTAGTTACTGGTTCTACTGAACTGGTGCGAACCTGCTGAATCCCACCACTGATTGTAAGTCAAGGACTACCGGTGACACATGATGGACTGACTTCTCCAAGAACTGTTTCATTTCTACAGAGACCTTCATAGAACGTGTTAAAAGGGAGACATTGGTGTAAAATGGGAGGGGCTATTTTGCAGATCTGCATTTACTTTTTTTTATTAAGATGGGACAGTGTGAAATGTGGATCTCTCTCTCTTTTTTTTTTACATTAATCCAAATTAGTTCTTTCCCTACAGCAAGGATCTCAACCCTTTCAGGTAGCGGATACTGTTTTGTAGGCATTATAAAAATTGCATGAACTATTTTTTTTTAAATGCATTGCCTGAGATCTCATTTTAGCTCTCTCATAAGTTATCAGCCTTTTTTTTTTTTTTTTACTTTTATCAGTTTTAAAGGGATACCAGTTTTTTAAACCTTAAAAAAAAGCCTTGGTGGCGCTGTGGTTAGAATGCAGTATTGCAGGCTAACTCTGCCGACTGCCAGGAGTTTGATCCTGACCACCTCAAGTTTGACTGCCTTCCAAGGTCGGTAAAATGACAACCCAGATTGTTGGGGGCAATAGGCTGAGTCTGTAAACCGCTTAGAGAGGGCTGTAAAACTATGTAGCGGTATATAAGTCTAAGTGCCATTGCTAAATGCTCTTGCTCTATTTTCCTTTGGAAATAAACACATGGAATTTAGTGATGCGGACAAAATATACTACATGGCCAATTCTCTCATAATAGTTTTCATAGGCTTCCCACGTCAGAATGATGGAAGGTGTCTCATTGTTCTTTCTGATGCGGAATTTTTTAAATCAGTCTTTTCTCCAGCACAGGAGATGGAGAATCCACTAATTGGTTTTCTATGTCTGCCTGCTCTTGAGACCAAGTTAGCCAAGCTTGACACGCCCCACTGTTGCTAGGAGAACCCAGTCTTGACTTGGTCTCAAGCTCTTGAAGACGTGTCAGGTTTGGCTCTCAGGTTTCAAGAGACCTTGATTCTTTAATTAGCAAGATAGAGATCCCATTGTTGAATTCTCCTTTCCTCAACCTTCCCTCAGGTCAGTAGGTCCACCTAGCTACCAATCCATTGGAGGAAGCAAAGTGCCTGTCCTTCTGTTGGCTCATCGTGTCCCCCAAATAAAGCATATTGTACATTACAGTACATGTAAGACACAATGAATTTTAAGAATGCAGCTAGGGAAGAGAATGGAGATTTGGGGGCCTGTGTCATGGATTTTATGAATGAAACAGTCATCATCACACTGATGGAATATAATGTTCTGGTAGGTCCCTCCCTAGGCTAGGGCAGGGAATTCATGTTCCTGAATTCCCCACCTCCCTCATTAATCCCTAATTCCTCCTCTTGTTTTGCAGCATTTTCATGTGCCTGGCAACGGGAGATGCCTTATTATGGCCGCCTCTACATCGCTAACACTCATATCTGCTTCTACTGTAGCGTGCTTCGACGGGAAGTTAAGGTAAGGCTTTTTGGGCTTTAGCAGATTAACAATAGTAGCACTGCCTCAAAACTTGAAGCTAATACGAGTAGTCCTTGATTTACAGCCAGAGTTTACAATGGCTGCAATGAAAAAAATGACTTGCAACCAGTTCTTACCCTTACAACCATCAAAGCATCCCCATGATCACATTATTATCTAAATTCGGGTTCTTGGCAACCCGTGTGTACAGGTAGTCCTCGACTTACAAGAGTTCATTTAGTGACCATTCAAAGTTAACAACAGCACTGAAAAAAGTGACTTATGACCGGTTTTCACGCTTTCGACCTTTGCAGCATCTCCATGGTCACGTGATCAAAATTCAGACGCTTGGCAAATGACTCGTACTTATGACGGTTGCAGTGTCCCGGGGTCATGTGATCCCCTTTTGCAACCTTCTGACAAGCAAAGTCAATGGGGAAACTAGATTCACTTAACAACCTCATCATTAACTTAATAACTGCACTAATTCGTTTAACAATTGTGGCAAAAGGTCGTAAAATGGGACAAAACAAATGTCTCATTCAGCAACAGAAATTTGGGGCTCAATTGTGGTCGTAAGTCGAAGACTTCCTGTACTTATGACAGTTACAGCATCCTGAGGTCACATGATCACCATTTGCAACCTTCCCAGCCAATGACCGGCAAGCCAAGATTTATCTTTAATTCATGTTAAAGGATTTCCACATTCGAGGCAGATTTGATCCTGGCTCCCATTCCAGCCCTTTCACCAGTGTAGTATGCAGGCTCTCTGCTTAGCCACGATGGCTTTGTGCAGCGTGTAAAGGTGGTCCTCGACTTACGAATACAGTTGAGTCCAAAATTTCTGTTGTTAAGCAAGACAGTTGTTAAGTGGGGCTTGCCCCATTTTACGACTTTTCTTGCCACAGTTGTTAAGTTAATCACTACCATTAATTAAGTTAGTAACCCGGTTGTTAAGTGAATCTGGCTTCCCCATTGACTTTGCTTGTCAGAAGGTTGCAAAAGGGCATCGCGTGACCCCGGGACACTGCAACCGCCATAAATATGAGCCAGTTGCCAAGCATCTGAATTTTGATCACATGACTATGGGGATGCTGCAAAGGTTGTAAGTGTGAAAGATGGCCGTAAGTCACTTTTCTCAGTGCCATTATAACATCAAACAGTCAATAAAGGAATGGTTGTAAGTCAATCACAGTCATTTCTCCCAAAGTCTGATCAGGAACAATAAAAAGCCGATCTATGCCGCTGACTTTCTCCTTCCTCCCTTTTTCTCCGGGCAGGTTATCATTCCGGTGGCAAATATCAGTGTCCTAAAGAAGGCCAACACTGCCTTGTTGGTACCCAATGCCATTTGCATCCGTACGTCTGAAGGTGAAAAGGTAGGAGATCTCTATTCGCCAGATTACCCGTCTGAATGGTAAAGCTAAAGACCAGACAAACTTAGTTGTGGGTCAGGCCTTCTTTGGAAGAGAAAATGGGCTAAAAGTTGCTGAGACCCTGGAAATTGTTTTATCCCAGTTCAGACTATTTTTCCTGACTACTTCCACCAGGGCCTGCTGCATAAAACAGATGGTCCCTCCCCATCAGGAAGCAAACTGCATTGCCTCTGAATTTGCTTTGTGTTGTAACGTCCTGTTTGTCTTCTACTCTCTATTGCAGTTTCTGTTTGGCTCCATCCGGTCACGGGAGAGTGCCTACCAGCTCCTGCGCTCTGTTTGTAAATATCTCAAGGTAATTAAGCTCCAGCCTGGAAATGTTGCTGCATAGCTGTCCCAGATTCTTTTTGCAATCCTTCCCCATCCATCCATCCATCCCCGCCCATCTAATCTCAATAGGCTTAGGGCTGTCAAGAATGGCTTAATTAACTTCCTGCACATCACAAGATGTTGGATTACATGACCTTAGTGGTCCCTTCCCATGTCACAGTTCTAGGATTCTGTGATCCAGGTCCAGTTTATTTTAGCTCTGCTCTTGGGCACAGCAAGGAATTTGCTTTTTCAGCTGATTTTGGGTGGCCAATTATTCTAACAATTATTATTCTAACATTGTTTAATACAGGCAGTCCTTGACTCATGACCACAACTGACCTCAAAATTTCCATTGCTAAGCAAGACAATTGTTCAGTGAATTTTGTCCCAGTGAATTCTTGCCACAGTTGTTAAGTGAATCCCTGCAGTTGTTAAGGGAATTATGCCTTTCCCATTGACTTTGCTTGTCAAAAGGTGATCACATGGTCCTGGGACAGGGCAGCTCTGATAAATACATGCCAGTTGCCAAGCATCTGGATGCTGCAATGGTTGTGTGAAAAACGGTCCTAAGTCACTTTTTTTCAGTGCTGTTGTAACTTCAGTCACTGAATGAGTGGTTGTAAGTTGAGAACCACCTGTGATTCACACAGAGATGCTTGTGGTGATTTTTGCCTTGCTTTTCAAAATTATTAGGTAGTCTTACATACCGTAAAGTGAGATGGGAGACTTTTATAATACCCCAAGATGTAAAATCAAAGGTTGCTTCTGATATCTCAGCTCCACTTTGTTGGACCAGACTAATATTTCCTCTTTCTCTTTGTGCTGCTTCCAGGACAGCAGTCAGAGTAACAGTCCAAATGCACCTTCCATCAGCTCAGAGCATCTCCTGAAGGAACCCCTGGTGTGTATGTTCAAGGGCAAGGAAGTCACAAATAATATAAACATCCTCTTTCCTACACTTTTATTATTAGGAAATAAATGGTCATGCTGATAATACTTTATGGGATGATAACGTATCAGGGGTGGGGAATTGTTCTTTCAAGCACTACATTGCTTCCAATTTATCTTGGGGAGCCCATCTTACCTGGGCTGCAAAACTCTAGGTGGCCATGGGATGGCAGCAAAGTGTTCATAAATATCGTCTACATATCTTTGCTTCCATCTAGTTGTCTCAGTTCTTGCAGCCCAAATTTGATATGATAACCCCGCAATCAAACGGGCTCATTTATAGTACAAGTAGTAGTCCTCAACTTACTACCGTAATGGAGCCTGACGGTCATAAAATATGACTTATATGACCAGCCCGATTTTATGACCTTGTTTGTGGCAGGCGTTAAGTAATTGCCAGAGTTGTCAAATGAAGCGATGGTTTGCTAAAGGTTGGGTTTGTCAAAAACCGAAAATAAATGTCAAAAACTGAAACTAAAACCATCATAGAATGCAGTCACATGACTGCAGGAGTCTGTAAACGGCCATAAATACAGGTCTGTTGCTGAATGTCTGACATGTGGTCACATGTCCACGGGGGGGGGGGATGTGGCTATCTGAACTTTGGAACTGGGTTATAATACCCCCATGTTTACAAATTTTTATTGGTTTATCAAAATATAAAATATGAAACATGCAAAGAAAAATGAAGATAATGGTTATATAAGGAGGGGAAAAGAGAAGAGAAAAAAATGCAGGGTAGAGGGGGGAAAAAGGCATTGACTTCCAATTTCTTTTTGAGGTAGTAGAATATGGTAGTAACTTAAGATCTCAACTTTTTTCTTTTATATAATAATATAAACTCGGCATTTTGATAACATCAAACCTATCTAATCAGCAAAACCCAAAGTCAAAGTTTTGGTTTTTTTCCACCACAAGGACAAAGTCCAAAAGAGGTTTTCAAGTAGAAACAAAATTAGTTGTGTTCTTTCTTTAATCAAAACACTCAATTTGGCCATCTCCGCTAACTGGATCGGGTTATAAATACCCCCAGGGAGATTCATTATAACTTCAAATGGTTGCTAAGCAACCCGCTGTAAATTGAGGATTACCTGTGTAGATATTCTTAGTACAGTCCAATCTTTAAACAAAAAGCTACTGGATTATTCTGAACACGCTTCCCCCAACCAATCCTCATTCTTCTTTCTTTGTAGAACTCTAAGGAATTAGATGTAGATTACAACTCTCCAGAGAAAACAGGTGAGATTGCAATTTTCTGTTATTATCTTTTTGCCATGTTTTCAGGCTGAATGAATATATGGGTAGGAATGGCAAAGTGCTTCCACCTAAAGCCCAGGTCACCTTTCGAAGCTTCTCTGAGTAGCTTTTTTGGATACACCAAAATCCTAGTCTGCCCCCAGCCAGTTGGTTGATTGTGTCATCAAATTGGCATCAACTCATTGAGTCAGAACTGAAGAAGCTTCTTGGATGAAAAGTGAAATGTCTTCAAGAAAAACAAAACAAAATCTAGTTGCCTTTTGAAAAGCACTTTTGGGATAAGCATGACCTGGATGACTGAGAATCTCCATAGACACTAAAATTCAAAGGCATCAATGCTCTCTCTATTCTGCTTCTTCAGAGTCCAACTTTTGCTTTCATAGATTGTCGCAAGGAAAATTGAATAATATCATAGACATATCATAGCACAGTGATGGCAAACCTTTTAGAGACCGAGTGCCCCAAAACCACGTCTCTTGCCCACAGGGCCACCCACCACCTCCAGGGCCCGCCACAGCAGATCGCCCAGGTGGCCCAGCACTGTCATGGCAGCCACGCCCTCTGTCCGCGCCCCACAGCATCATGTGTACGCGATGAGGTGCGAAGGCGGAGTCTTGTTCCCGCTGCCTGGCTGCCATGTCCTTCACTGCGCTGCTCCGCGCAGGTTGTGCCCAGGACAACTCTCCTCCGGGGGGGGAGCTGCTGGTGAGGAGGGGGCCATGGGGGGTGGCGGGGCTGGGGTGACGGCATGCGTGCCCACAGAGAGGGCTCTGAGTGCTGCCTCTGGCACCCGTGCCATAGGTTCGCCACCATTGTCATAGCACAGTGGTTCTCAACCTGTGGGTCGGGACCCCATTTGGGGTCAATCGACCATTTCATGGGGGTCGCCAAGCAAGGCTGTCCGCCATTTTTTTTGTCCGCCATTTTTTTCCCCTTTTCCGGCGGGTGCCTTACCTCCCTTGGGCTGGGCCAGCTGGTGGTCGGCCTACTCCATCTCTGCCGCTTGCCAGCTACGCCTCGGCCGGCGCAGGGGGCGGAACCACGCATGCACGGCACTCCCGGGCAGGGAAAGTCCTCGACTTATGACCGGTTGGGTAGTCCTCGACTTACGACCGGTTTAGTCCTTGACTTACGACCAGTTTAGTCCTCAACTTACGACCGGTTTAGTCCTCGACTTACGACCGGTTGGGGTCACGGCATTAAAAAGGTTGAGAACCACTGTCATAGCATCTGAATGCTCTTTTCCAAACCCTTCATTGCTACCCTACCAAATGTTAGCCTGCAGCAATTTTTTTGAGCATTGGTTCCTTTACTGCTGATCAGTGATTCTAAAAAAACAAAAAGTATCCACCACTTTCATTGACAATTCTTAGGCTGTGTGCTGACTAGAACTTGGGTTTGTTTCTTATTTAACAGATGTGGCAGATAGGATCCAGATACCCTACGAAGCCTCTTGCGAACAGCAACAGCAGAGGACAAAACAGCAAAGTAAGTAACCAATCCTTTCAGTTTTGAGAGTTGTGAATGGGCAAAACTGGTCTGGATTTCTCAGTACAGTGGAGAATATTTGGGAAGTAGGGGGAACGTTCCTTAAAAAAAAAATTTGCCTCCAAGAGCCACAGAGGGTATAGTCGTGGCTAAACGATAGGGGTGGGCTAAATTGGGGGCAAAGGCAAAATAAATTTACTAGAAGAAATTCTAGTAAATCAGGTTGCAGGGAACTAAGAGAAATAATAAAGATGGAAGATGTTTATTTTAGCTTATATTTTAAAACCAAAACATTGGCCCACCCAAAACCAGTGGTTTGCTGTAGAATTTCAGTCACATATCTTGGGAGATACAGCGCTGTAAAAATGGATCCCAGCTGCCCTAAATTGAACAAGTTTTTTCCCAAGTGAACAATAACAACAATGGAGGGAAAAGACCAACTGCCTTTAGATTAGTAGTAGCCGAAGACCTGCAAACGAGTAATTCTGTAGATAGAGTTAATCCTTGACTTATGATCAGAATTGGGACCAGAATTTCCACTGCTAAGCAAGGTGGTTGTTAAATGAGTCATGCTTGATGTTACAACCTTTTTGCCACAGTTAAGCAAATCAGTGCAATTTTTAAGTGAATCATGAGGTCATTAAATTAACCTGGCTTTTCCCATTGACTTTGCCTGTCAGAAGCTGGCTGGGAAGATCACAAGTAACAATCACATGGCCCAGGATGCTGCAACCATTGTAAATACATGGGAGTGGTTGGTAAATACATGGTTGCCAAGCACACACATTTTGATCACATGACTGTGGGAACATGGCCGTGGTTGTAAGTGCGACAACTGGTCATGTCATTTTTTTTCAGGGCTGTTGAATGGTCGCTAAACAAATGTTTGTTAATTGAGGACAAGCTGTATGTTTTGGTAAATTAATTCCTCTTGTGGTATTTAGCTCTATTCCTTGAGATGCTGTTTTCAACCCATTTGCTAGGTGTTGTCTTCCAAAACTAAGTAAAATTTCCCAATCGTGCTGGTGTTGTTATTATGTAGTAAACAAGGATCTGGTTATCTTTGTCACCATCTTGTAATGAACTGTGATGAACTTTCTTTTGGCAGAGGCAGGACAGACGATAAAGTCAGAAAGAAACCAGAGAACTCAACGGTGCCGTTTGAACACAATTATACTCATCTACCTCTTGCTGTGAGTGAACCTTAAAACTGTTTGAAGGGGCTATCGAGGCCATCTAGTCCATCCATCATCTTGGTGCAGAAATCCAAATGTTCAGATAGAAAACTACCTAACCTCTTTCTGAACATCCAGCAAAGAACAAGCCAAGCGGAGATTTTCTAAATACATGCCCCAAACTTTAAGGCCAGATATTGAGCATTCTATTTTTGTTTTCGTAACAAGACTGTACAATGGCAGCCATATGGTGGATCAGCCTCTCAAATGCACAAACAAAAAGCCTTCAGTTAATTGTAGCCTTCCACCTGGCTAGAACAGCTGCAGGACTTGGGTTTGGCTAGTCTAAAGAAAAGAAGGAATAGGGGTGACATGATAGCAGTATTCCAGTATTTGAGGGTCTGCCACAAAGAAGAAGGGGTCACATTATTCTCCAAAGCACCAGAGGGCAGGACAAGAAAAAATGGATGGAAACTGATCAAAGAGAGAAGCAACCTGGAATTAAGGAGAAACTTCCTAACAGTGAGGACAATTAATCAGTGGAACAGAAGTTGCCTCCAGGAATCGTGGGCGTTCCATCACTGGAGGTTTTTAAGAAGAGACTGGACAGTCACTTGTCTGAGATGGTATAGGTCAGTGGTGGCGAACCTATGGCACAGGTGCCAGAGGCGGCACTCAGAGCCCTGTCTGTGGGCACGCGCGCCGTCGCTCCAGTCCTAGGCCTTCAGCTGGGTTTTATAAAACCTTTTCGCTTTAGGCCTCTGCCGCCGTGTGCAAAAAAAAAAAGGTTCAATCAATCAGCCAATTTCAACTTCTAGCGGGGAAAAAAAAAGATCTTGCAAAGTTGGAATTGATTGAACTTTTTAGTCCCACCCAGTCTGCCATTACCACCGTAGCCATGCCCATCCAATTGGCCACACCCACCCAATGGCCACACCCACCAGGCACCCGACAATGCATAAGTGGGTTTTGGGTTGCAGTTTGGGCACTCGGTCTCTAAAAGGTTTGCCATCACTGGTATAGGTTCTCTTGCTTGAGCAGGGGGCTGGACTAGAAGACCTCCAAGGTCCCTTCCAGCTCTATTCTATTCTAAAAGCTCCCGCCTTATTGCTTCATCATGTTGAACTGTTAAATATAACTAGGAAGCACTTTGCAACATTTAGCTGGAATCGGTTTCCCTGTAATTTAAAACTGGTCTCTGGAATACTAGGAACAGATTCCCGGACAATCTTTCCTATTTTTTTAAATTGTGGGTAAAGGAATGAAGGAAAATGGTTCAAATTTTAATTTTTTATGCCATCCTTTTTACTGATGCACTGAGTTCAGACCGCTTACAATATAATAAAAAGTAAAAAAAAAGGAATACAAAATGATTAAAATTAAGAGAATTTAAATAGAACGCTAAAAAAACAAATGGCTCTAGTCACTGTCATTCAAGCTGGTTTGGAATCTGGATCTTGTACCTCTTTAGAAGTCATCGCAAGAGCTTTCGGGGCTGAGCTAGGAATATCCTCAGATGTTACTTCTTTTCCCAATGCTGACTTTTTAACAAGCTTCGTTTGCATCTCCCATAGGGCCGTTCTCCTACTTTGTTCTTCAGGCTACATTGGTCTGCGTATCATCCAGCTGGAAGAACAGCTCACTTCCATGGGGGCTTGGCCTGAACTGGACCTTCAACATCAGTGAGTGTTTTGTTTCTTAATTTGTACAGAGATAGACAACGTATATACCAGGGGTAGGCAACCTTGGCTCTTTTATGACTGCTGGACTTCAACTCCCATAGCTGGCTGAGGAATTCTGGGAGTTGAAGTCCACCAGTCATAAAAGAGCCAAGGTTGCCTACCCCTGGTATATACGGTAGCAGCGGTCCCCAACCCTTTTGGCTCCATGGACTGGCAGCAGAGGCGATGGTGGTAGGGACGGGATGGTTTCACGTGTGCAGCCTAAATCCCACGCATGCACAGGAAAAGGTGGAAGAGACAAGATCAGAAAAAGAAAAGGAGGCTAGGTTGTCGTGCAGGAATACAAACTAATTTGAGGGATAATCCACATGGAGCTCCATTTCCATCTGTCCTGTTTGCCATCGTTCGCTCCCTAGAGACTAAAATGGAAGATCTGTAACTTGAGCTGGCCACGAACAAGGAGTGTATATCGGAGGTGGTGACCCTTTGAGAGCTGCATGCAACGAAATTTCATTTTGATGTATGCTGATTGGTGTACTTTCAAAGTGACAATAAAGTTTATTTATTTATTTATTTATTTATCGAATTTATACCCCGCCCTTCTCCTAGCGGAGTTGTTGTTGTTGTTGTTGTTGTTGTTGTTATTATTATTATTATTATTATTATTATTATTATTATTATTATTTATGAAGCTTTGTGCTCTGACCTGCCGTTTGCATGGCCCAGTTCCCAACAGGCTACGGAGCAGTACCAGTCCATGGACCAGGGGTTTGGGACCAAAGTAAAATTCTGACTAGTGACTAAAAAACACAAGTACTGTAGTTTCAAAAAATGGAATGAGGCGGATGGTGTATTTAATGCAAAAACATCCCTTTTAGCAGCTCTGCATCACACTCCGGGTTTATATTCAGCTTGTGATTTGTTGGAACACGCAGATCCTTTTCGTGTATATTTTGTATGATCAGGTCTCTGCTATTGAATACTTGAACAGAACAGATTAATAGAGTTGGAAGGGACCTTGGAGGTCTTCTAGTCCAGCCCCTGCTCAAGCAGGAGACCCTACACCATTTCAGACAAATGGTTGTCCAATCTCGTCTTAAAAACCTCCAGTGATGGAGCACCTACAACTTCTGGAGGCAAATTGTTCCATTGGTTAATAGTTCTCACTGTCAGGAAATTTCTTCTTAGTTCTAGGTTGCTTCTCTTGATGAGATTACTTGAATTTTTCCTTTTCTTTCCAACATTTCTCCCAATTAAATTTTATTGCGTTCATTTTGTCCCATGGTTCAATCCTGTCTAGATCTTTTTGAACCTTCTCTTTCTCTTCTAAAATGGCAGCCACTCCTAGTTTTATGTCATCTCTAAATAATCATCCTCTTAATCCCATTATTCAGATAATTAGCAAATATGTTGGAAGCTAAGTCAGAGTCCTGTGCCATCTTTCTTAACTAGTTTCCAATCTGATATGGAAGCATTTGTACCAACTCTCTGGGTGTGGTCATTAGCCAGCTGTGAATCAGTAGGAACCTGTAGCCTATATTTTACCATTGTATTCATCAAAGCAACATGAGACACTTTGTTAAATGCTTTGCTGAATTCAAGGTACACTGTGCCCACAGCATTCTCCCTATTAACCTAATACTATTTCAAAATGGGAGATAAGACTAATCTGGCATAATTTGTTTGTGACAAAACCATGCTGGCCCTTGTTAATTGCTGAGTTCCTCTACAAATGTTCATAAATATCCTTGTCTAGTGTAGACATCCAATCTACTGGTCTATAATGTCCCAAATCCTCCATCTTCTCTAGTTTGAAGCCAGGAACAACATCTCCAGTCTTCTGGCACGTTGCCAATTTATCAGAGCTTACAGCTGGTAGTTCAATGATTATCTTCAACAGATCCTTCAACACCTTAGATCAGGGGTCTACAACCTTGACAACTTTAAGACTTGTGGACTTCAGCTCCCAGAATTGTCAAGGTTGCAGACTTCTGCCCTAGACAATGTTTGTTTATATACTGGATGGTTCTGAATTTCTGAACTTGTGTGTACAGATATAGTCCTTGACTTACAGTCGCCATTGAGCCCAACATTTCTCTTAATAAGCAAGATGGTTGTTAAGTGAGTTTTGCCCCATTTTACAACCTTTCTTGCCACAGCTGTTAAGTGAATCCCTGCAATTGTTAAGTTAGCGACATGGTTGTTAGGAGACTCTGCCTTCCCCATTGACTTTGCTTGTCAGAAGGTTGCAAAAGGTGATCACATGACCCCAGGACACTGCAACCATCATTAAAAAATGCCAGTTGCCAAGCATCTGAATTTTAATCACATGACCACGGAGATGCTGCAACAGTTCTAAGTGTGAAAAACAATCACAAGTCATTTTATAAAATTTGTAATTTCAAATGGACACTAAACTAATGGTTGTAAGTCGAGGACTATCTGTATTGTCGACGATCCCAGAAGCCATTTTGAAATAGCTCTTTGTGTTAATAGGAAGATGCTGCTACTGCTGGCTACCCATTCCTGTAATTGTTGGATGGTTACCTCAAGGGAAATTGTCTTGTTTCTCTAAAGGAAGAATTAACTGTCCTAATTATTCCTTTAAAGAAATCAGATCCCCATGAGTTGTGTGGATGGTAACACCTTCTCTTAGCCAACTTTAACACAGTTTCTATCACCTTCAGCTAGATCTTTCTTGTTATATAACTATTGGCGGAGAGGCCTCTTCTCCTCCGGTTTGTGTGGCAAGGAGAGATTAAGATGGCCTGGAATGAGGACAATCTCCATATTACATAAGCTTGGCAGAGGAGAACAAAACCATCTTCTCTCATTTCAGAAGGTGCCTCTCTCTATCACCATCCATCTCCCACATAAGAGCAAATATCTTTATCCTTAAGCCATCCCTATTGTTAAAGTTTCTTTTCCAATGGGTTTGTACGCCAATTCCTCTTTCAAATCTGAGGCAATGACAGGCAGTCCTCAATTTAAAACCATTTGTTTAGCAACTGCTTGAAGTTACTTTTTTTACACTTAAAAAAAGTTAGTTATCAGGAAACTAAGACCCGTGACTCCATTTTGTTGAAGCAGAGGAACTTTTACTGAAAGAAACTGGTTGCAGTAAAGCCAGGCAGAATCTGGTGCTCCTGCGCAAAATACAAAACTATTCTTTTCCTTTCCCACTCTCTCCCACCATGACCGGTCCCCCAGCCAGCCAATGTGGTGCCGGGAAGATGTTTTGAGAAACTCTGAGGTGTCAAACTGGTAACATTCCATTCTCAGGGCAAACGGCCTTGAAGATCCTGGTACAAGCCGGTTTAGTGGAGAACGGCTCTTCTTCCATTGTCACTCCCCCCCTCCCTATTTCCCACATTTGAAGCAACAGCACCCAACAAACCCCCTCCCTCCCCCCTTCTTAATGGCAGGACACCAACAAGGCGCAATCCAGTGATGGTGGACCTGACAATGACTGGTCCTTGCACTTATGACCCTGGCAGCATCCCCTGGAACATGTGATTAAAGTTCAGACTTGGCAACCAGCCTGTATTAACCCTGGCTGACAGCATCCTGGGGTCATGACCCTCCCAGCTGGCTTCTGACAAGCAAAATCAATGGGGGAAATCCAGATTTGGGTGACCAGAGCATGATTCACTTAGCAGTTGCAGCTATTCAATTAACAACCGTGACAATAAAGGTTGTAAAATCAAGTGTGGCTCATTAACAACCCCCTTGCTTAGCAATGGAAATTCTGATCTCAATTGCGGTTGCAGCTCGCCACAGCTAACTCACTACAGCCAAGTCATTGCAGGACAATTAGCCACGAGACAATTCAACGCTGTATTAACCATTTCATTCAAGCACTTTTATTATCGGTAACCACCTTTTTGTCAAAATTATTGTAACTCTTATATTTCTGGATTGACCTTTTTATTTTATCGATGGCTACCGTTCCATCAAATGATTATACTTTTGTGTATGTTTTTTATTTATTTATTTATTGAATTTTTACCACGCCCTTCTCTTTGCGGACTCAGGGCGGCTAACAGCCTGATAAAAACAAATACAAAAATACCAAAATACTATCATTAAAAACATAATTAAAAAGAAATATTAGATTGGCCTTTGTTATTTTAAAATTATTTTAAAACCCCGCTAAAAATTACCCCTTAGGCCAGTCCTGCTAGTTGAAATAGCCATGTCTTAAGGGCGCGGCAGAAGGAAGGGAGATCCGGGATCACCCGGATCTCTGGGGGTAGTTCGTTCCAGAGGGTGGGAGCTCCCACCGAGAAGGCCCTCCCCCTGGGGGTCGCCAGCCGGCACTGTCTGGCTGACGGCACCCTGAGGAGACCCACTCTGTGGGAGCGTACCGGCCGATAGGAGGTAATCTGAGGCAGAAGGCAGTCTCGGAGATATCCAGGTCCGATGCCATGGAGCGCTTTGAAGGTGATAATCAATACCTTGAAGCGCACCCGGAAAGCCACCGGCAGCCAGTGCAGCTCGCGCAGTAACGGTGTTACATGGGAGCGACGAGTCCCTCCCAACACCGCCCGCGCGGCTGCATTCTGGACTAACTGGAGCCTCCGAGTGCTCCTCAAGGGGAGCCCCATGTAGAGAGCATTGCAGTAGTCCAGGCGGGAGGTGACAAGGGCATGGG